AACCCTGTGTTTAAAGCAGACACTAAAAGAAGCAAAGTGTTGGTTAGAGCCAATGTCAAATATTATGTGATTATGAAGTCCCTAACTAAGGAGCAGGCATAGTCTTAGGGGCTAAGTTCCCTCTTAGCTCAGCAAACATTTACTTAACTGAACTCCATTATGATTGAGGCAGGGTGAGATGTATGATAATACAGTGAGTACACTGTAACTGACCCTTCCAGTTGCTTAGAAACTAAGCTGCTACAGAATGTTATGCTGCAGACGCACCCAATCACCAAGGTGAGGAAGTGAGCTCTTAGAAATGTTTTGGCAGATGCCTCTGTGGGTATACTTTGAGGATTTCCCCAGTTCATGTGGAAAGGGAAACCCAGATATGAGAAAATCTTCCCCTTGAGGACAGCAAAAGTTGGATGCTTTTGGTTCATTCCTGAGATCCCTCGTAGGAATCTGTTAATTGCTAAGCTTCTGAGACAATGAAACTGCAGTTCTTATTCTCTGAGATAGAGAGGACAGGGTCCTCTCTGTGGGGTAGCCATTACTAAGTAATTGTGACAAGAAAAAGGGAAGTGTTTAGGATATCGCATGGATTGTGTAGTAGAGAAGAGAATGAAGGTTAAGAGAGAGCTTATAGTAGAAAGGTGCTGACAGTCATGGTGAAGGGTGGGAAGGAGAAAGAGAGGGTTTGGGATAATAATTAAAATGGCTGTTCTTTGTGGCATTAGATCCCAATAGATTCTCTATTCAACATGGTTTTCAGAGCCACACATCTTCGTTTCTAAGAAATGTAACTTTCGGGATGAGGTTTTTCTGAATGTGGAAGGCTGCTTGGGCAAAGAACCAGTTTTGCCCGTTCTTCCTAGTCCCCTCTCTGCGTGGGGTTCTGAACTTTCCTGATCAGAAGGTAAGGCCTTGCCCTTGGTAAGGAGGCTGTTTCTGCTGAGCACCACCGAATGCCTCAGGATGAGAGTCTAGCTTCCCAGCTGACTGCCATGGCTGAGGATGGAAAATTCCATCTTCCCCTGCAGAGGCTCCTTGAGATGCACCCTGAGAGGTGGAGAGGGTGTGCTTTCATGATCTCTCAGGTCTCTTCTGACATGAAGCCCAAGGCACAGGGAGGAGATGTTCACATCCCAGTGGAGGTGGCATGGTGAACTGGGGAGTCCCCATCACAGATCTGTTTCCCCACCGTGCTCCACTGACTCCCACACTACCCCTCTCCCACCTAACATCTTGACATTGTGGCTGGGTATCAAGTGAGGAAGGGCAAGGCCCACAGAGTGAAGGTAGAGCCCATGCTCTGGTTTCATACCTTCCAGAGGCTCATTCCTTCCTGCCAAGAATTACCCGCAAGACAAATGCCAAGTGAGTAAAATAACTGCCAACATCCTAGTAAGTTAGAATTAGAAACTCTCTCCAAAGATGAGCTCCTGGGAACATGGTACAGGCTGCTGGGTAAAGGCTGGATATCAGATGTTTCCCAGTTTTGTTCTCCAACAGCTCAGTGTTCAAGGTACTGTGAGAGGCCAGAAAAGGACCTACTTCTGACTCTTCTTGCAGCACCTGTCTACTTTGTACTTGTCCATGGGGCTGCTGCCCACCGTCAGGTCAATTGCACCTCTTCAGAGCCCAGCTAAAGGTTGGGCCAAATTGTACTACACAGACAACTATGTAGAGTTGGCTGAGGAGATCTTCTCTGGAGAACCTCTGGAGTATTTTGAAATATATCTGAATATTTTGACAACTATCTAAAACCCAATATTTTAATCTTGATCAGTACTGATGATGAAAATACTTCAAATTAATCTTAGACCCTCAAATACTTTCGTAAGGGTAAATATCAGATGATTTTTTTTTTTTACCCACACACAAACATGGTCTTTTTTATATATATCAGCACAAGAAAAATCCTCAGATCTTCTCCAGAGACTAACAAAATAGAAAATATCAAAAGTCCCAGAGGAGTTCTACATCCAAGGAAAAGCTACACAATAAAGCTTCTTCAATCTGGAAATGTCTGAAGACTCCACACTGTCTCCAAACTCCTGTCAGTCTACACTGACAGAAGTTCTCCAGAGATCTCCTTAGCCAACTCTACATGGTTGTCTGTGTAGTACAGTCTACACACCACAATCAGAGTACAGCCCTGATATTTGAATGAGACCATGTCAGAAGCATGAGTGTACAAGAAGTCATCTTCTAGTTGAACCTTGTATTTTTATAGATAAGTTGAGACCAAGAAAGGGAAGATTTCAACTCCACCCCTCCATTCCCGTATGATTTCCATTATACCACACAAGTAGCCCCCACCCCCATTCAAATTTGGAGTGAGGAGGAACCCCTAGGTAGATTTTATTAACATTCCATTCTTGTGTCCACTTCAGTGTCAAGCTCAGAGGAGAGAGAAGTTGGCACACACAGCAGATTGGCAGGGTGGTAGTCTCACCATGAACTCATCACGAGAGCACAAAGGGAGCACTCAGGGCTCAGGCTTCCCTCCTGGGTGTGAGGGCTGTCATAAGTGAAGCCAAGAAACGAGGAATGACAGAGTTACCAGAGATGAAGGGACATTCTTGTTGGATAGAACTAAGAAAGCAAGTATTTTCTAAAGCTTACCATGCACTTGGCAAATTGCTGGGTGCTTTCACATATGCTATCTTATTTAAACTTCACAGTCATCTCCTGGGAATAGTCCAATAACAATATGCCTTATTTTCACTGGCATGAGAGCTGAAGCTCAGGAATGCTACATAATGTTTCCAAATTCGTAAAATTAGAGAAGTCACAATTTGAACTGAATCTGACCCTCAAGGCTATGCTCTCTGTCTCATCTTACCATGCTTATTCAAGGGCAAAAAGATTAGAGAAAATGGTTGGCTAGAATGTAAGACACAGAAAGGATATGTGTGGAAATAAAGTTTGACCAGGAGGTTGGAGCCGGGCCATGGAGAACTTTGAATGGGGCACTGTGGGGGTATTTCTGGGCAGTGGGGTTATCCGCATGAGTTAATCAGGTATGGAGGGTGAGGGGAAGAGTTAGGGCAGGGCAGGGAGCAAGAAAAAGGACCATTTATTTTATTTCACAACATTGCCTAAACTTAATGGTACTGATGCTAGTTAGAGACTTCTGAGAATATGTCTATTTCTAACACTGAGTAACCATCAGGACAAGGAACAGAAAGCTTCAGTCTGGAGTTCCAGTAGCTCTAACCAAGAGAGGAAGTCATGTGAGCTTTCCTTGTTGCCTCTCAGCCTCTTGGTCTCAGAGAACATCCCGTGGGTCACTACTACCCTTACATCATCAGGGCGCTTCAAAACTGTGGTAGATTTCCTTGAACTGCAGAAACCATGTGGAGATTTTTGCATAGCCAAATAATCCAATCATGAGGGCTTTCAGATCAGAGGGCTTGACGTAAGTTTGGGGATGAGGAAGCCTTGTTTTTTCCTCTTCTATGAAAATTGACTTAGGGTTACAACTTCAGAAACCTGGATCATGGACGGTTAGTGCTGAAAGGGATCTCTTGAACTTCTAGTAATTTTTAAAGATGAGAAACTGATGTCTAGAGAAGTTGTGAAACTTGCCCATGATGACACCATCCCTGCCTGGCTGGCATTAGAACTCAGTTTGCTGCTGGCTGAGCCCTGCACTCTCTGAATTTAACCAGGTGGCCGTTCATGCTGGACTGACTTGCTGGCTTAGAGAGCAGTGGGGCATTTATTCACCCCCTGGGGATTATGAATTGGCAGGGCTGGAAAAGTCTCTCCCTTCTACCTCCCAGGCCTGTTGGTTTCGGCTGGGTTAGGCTTGTGCTTTGACTTCTACGGGAAATAGGGGATTCCTCGTCCGCGTGGGCAGTCACTAGAGGAATCCACTTGACTGCGGCTACCTGTATGCCAGCGAGTGGGAGGCAGGGATTACACACTCCAGGGCATGAAAACAAATTCCTCCCCACACCTCCATCAGCCAAAAAGCATCCTGCGGAGAGAGCTGTTGTTCTTGGCAGACACAAGAGACAGTGCGCTTTCTTTTCTCGCTTTCCCTTTTTAGTAGGTGATATAAGCAGATGGTACAAAATTGAAAAAAAGTCGACCATGAAAAGTAAGGGGCACTCCCATTCTTGACTTTAGGCTTCCAGTTCCTTTCTCCAGAGGCAACACTTGCAAACAGTGTTTTGTGTGTCCTTTCAGATAGAGTCAATGCCCATGCAAGCCATATTTTTATTTTTTTAAATACAAAGTCATATACTTTATACATGATTCTGCCTTTTGCCTTTTTTTTTGCTTCATATACTTTATAGTTTGCTCCTTATTGAACTTCTTTGTTCTCTTCCCCATCAAATTACTGTAGACATTTTACCCCTTGGGCTTCCTCTCTCCTTTCTTGATGTTAAATACTCTCTGGGTTCAAATTAGGTTTTCAAGCTTTTAAGGAGAAGGGAGAAAACCAATGTAAAAAATAGACTATATTCACATCTACCAAACTCTGAAGGATTACACTAGTTTTAGTTGGTAGTATGCCCTGAAAATAAAACACTTTTACACTTGCATTAGAGCTAGGAAGCTTCCAGAATTCACTCCCAGTGCATTCTGGAAGTCGGTGGTCACAGCGGGTGGATCTGGCACAGCCTTCTTCAGGAGGGGGTGGATCTTTGCGACTGAATGGGTTTCTTGACAAGATGACTATTAAATGCTCTGTTATCCAAAATGGGAAATTGGGACTCAGTGAGCTAAAACAACACACTAGAGGAGAGTTTGGCAGGGCTGAGCACAGACCTTGGTGCTTGCATGAAAGGGCAGAATACTCCTAACTTATCTTAAGGGGTGTTATAGAAAGGCCAGAGGGCAGGTTGGCAGTCTGGGTCTATTCCCCATGGAAAAAACCCAAGTCTTTGGCAAGTCGCTCCCTCTCTAGTCTACTCCATTTCTGTTTCATAGAATATGACTTGTTAATTCCATTTCTTCACCATTTTATTTTCCTAAAAATATCTCTTTGCTTTCTTCAGGTGCCACCTCAGTATCCTCCAATTCGAAGTATCGGAGCACAATTTACTAGTAAGTGTTGTCGAAAGTTTTATTTTTTTAAAAAGAATTTTTCCCTCCGAATCTCTTCATTTCCTCCAGAACACAAGATCTCACCCTTTCTTAGGGAAGCATTAAATCCTGGAATACCTCGACCTTGCATGTTGTTTATATTTGAGACAAAGAAGGTGTATAAAGAAGAAAAGGGGAGTCATTAGTTGCCAAATCTGTGCTTAATTCCTTTAGATGCCTTACTAATCCTTCCAGGAATCCTCTAAGCAGGAATTATTCTTTTTTTTGTTTTGTTACTCCTAACCCGAAGATATTCCCCCCCCCCCCCCATTGATTTTTAGAGAGAGTGGAAGGGAGGGGAAGAGACAGAGAGAAAAATCCATGTGAGAGAGACACATTAATTGATTGCCTCCCGCACTGCCCCCAACTGGGGACAGGGATTGAGCCTGCAACCGAATTATGTGCCCTTGACCTGAATCAAACCTGTAATCCTTTAGTCTGTGGGCTGACACTCTAACCACTGAGAAAAAAGCAGCTAGGGTGGAATTATTCTTATTTTTAAGGTAAGGGAACTAAGGCTTTACTTCCTTAGTTTTGCCAGTAATTCTGGTATAGGTCAAGATTTTACCTTCATGAGAGTTGGGGGAGGCCCCAGGTGTGAAGGCCAGGTGATACTTCACCAGGACAGCATGACTTGGATCCATGACTAACACTAAAACACCCACCAGTAGTTTCTTTTTAAAAAAATACATTTTATTGATTTTTTTAGAGAGAGGAAGGAAGAGGGATAGAGAGAAACACCGATGAGAGATAAACATCGATCAGCTGCTTCCTGCACACCCCCTACTGGGGATGTGCCCACAACCAAGGTACATGCCCTTGACTGGAATCAAACCTGGGACCCTTGAGTTCTGGGACCCTTGAGTCTGCAGGCCAACGCTCTATCCACTGAGCCAAACCGGTTAGGGCCACCAGTAGTTTCTTTAAGGCTATTCACTATCAAGTTCTCCTGAGACTGAGAGAAGTACGTCTTGCCCTCCATAAGAGGTCTTCATTTCCAGTTCAAGCATGCCCCCATGGGCCTGGTTCAGAGCAAGAATTATTGATTGTGTGTCCAGCAGTGGGGACCTACTCTTTCCTATTACCAAGGGACATGGGCCAGAGTGGGGAGTCTGAGATGTGGTTGCTTGGCCATATCAGGGCTAATTGAAAAGAAATTAAGGCTTTTTGGCTTACCCTTGGAATGGCTCCTCACAAGGGTACCAAAGCCATCACTCTGTGTCGTCTTTCTCCTCCTCCTCCCCCTCCTCTTCTTCCTCCTGTGAAAGCAGCTCTTCCCCAGGCACCTCCCAGGAAAAGCTAGTGACAAGGTAGAAGTGAGAGGCAGGCCTTTGTTCTGGAGCTCTTTCATCTGCCTCTTTCCGGGCAGAGCCTGAGCCCACTGACACTCTGTGCACAGCGGCATCATTAAGCTTCAGCAACTGCTGGTAAAAGCCAGTAGTAAATGTTGCTGGGAAGTCTAGTACCCAGGGCATGTGAAAATGTGCATTTCACAGTCAGGTGGAGAGAGAATAGGGAAGAGCTCAAAGCAATGGCCCTCCTGGCACCCTTTGCTCCTATTGAGCTATTGAATAAGGAAGCCCTGAGGTTGCCAGTCCCTCCCTGTTCTGCAAATCAGGGAAACCTCCAAGCTCCATTTCCTGCCGCAGGTCTGTTGTGACAACCGCCAATGGCTTTAATCTCTCCATTCTTGAGTTCCAGCCCCATCAGGAACTGTCTTGGGTACCAGTGCTAGCTCTACCTCCTCTTCCATCCCATGGGTAAAGCACAATGCCCGCTTCCTCTCATTCTTCTCAAAATCTCTTCCTATCGCTGTCTCTTTATATGTTTCTAGATGTGTAAGAATGTTGTTGCCCAAAGTTGTGCTAAGGAATCATTCTTTTTTTATTTCTTCTTGTCCTACCCTCCTTAGAGTGTGACAATGAAAAAGGTTTCATCCTCATATCCCAAAGCAAGGAGGAAACCATGAAGATACAAAACAACTCAATCCCCATCCCATGTGATGGGTTTTATCTCATCTCCCTGAAGGGCTACTTCTCCCAGGAGCTCAGCCTCAGCCTTCATTACAGGATAAACCGGAAACCCCTCTTCTCCCATGACAAGGTCACGTTTGTTGACTCCATCATCGTGGCCTCTCTGCGTTACAAGGACAAAGTCTACTTGAATGTGACCACTCACAATACCTCCTGTGCAGACATCCAGGTGAATGGTGGGGAGTTAATTCTCATTCATCAAAATCCCGGTGGATTCTGTGCTGAATGAGGACCTGATGGCCACACCTAAGCCAGGCACCAAGCTCGAATGACACAATGGGGGTGGACAGGACACTGGTTCTTCCTTGGTAGTGGGGGAGTCATCCCAGATCAGCTCCCACCTCTGGCTACACAGGATGTGACCAGAAGAAGATTCCCCCACTCCCACTCAGGGATATTTAAGACTTATTTTACATATCATTTAACTTTATTTATCCTCCAATCTTCTAAAGCACCTAGCCCTCATCCTTGCCTCAAGCCTGTCAGGTATCTCTGCCGAAGAAAATAGGTGCCTCTTCTTCATGATACCAATTGTTTCTATTGGTCAGGAAATGGTCATAATAAACTTGCTTTATTGAAAAAGACACTGGACGAGCATTTGCTGGAAATCTGGCATCTGGCATTGTCGAAATGAAGATGACCAAGGAGGGGGCGATGAATCAGCCGGAAGTGGTGTGGACCCACTGACAACCGCAGCTGCCTCTCTAGGATGGATTGGTTTGCAGTCTGCATGTTGCCTAAATACCTCTCACTGGGTGCAGTTAAGAAGGAAAATCAACTTGTGAACAGCTGTCAGGACTTGGTGAAGATAAAGATTACTCTGTGTCTGGGCTTTTTTTCCTCTACCACATTGCTTTCCCAGCCTCCAAATGTTCTTAATAGCAATTCCCCCCTCAAAAATCCAGTAAGAATTTAAAGAGTCTGGGGAGTGAAACACATTCTTTGCTACCGATAGTCAATGGAACATGTATGCACCCTTCAGCTTATGCTGATAACACTCAGCCCCATGCCTTGTACATGCACACCACATTGCTAGTTTCAAAAATGAAGCAATTCTATTATCAGATGCAACTTTATGTCAAAGACACTGAGAGCCTACTGTATCTTATGAAAAACAATGATCTCTATCTAGAAACATTCTAATATCACATATGATCCTATATCAATTATTGAGACTAGAATCAGCTAATGCCAAGGCTTTTAAGAGAATGAGATCCCTTATGTTTAGTATAAATGTTCCTCCTGATGTATCAGGCTCACAGCATTGTGAACACATGCAAATTTCTAGATAAGTTGTAGATTCTTAGATTTTGGCTAAAATTTGTTTTAATGGTTGGCAATGTTTCCCTACCATTTTAAATAGAGCATGCAGGATGTAGACCTTTTTCTGGATGATTCTGTGGCATCACAATAATTGTGCTGGGCCAGAAAGATGGCCCTGCACTAGATGGTTTCCATCACATTTGAATTTTTTTCTGTCTTTTTAACATAGTTTTCCATCTCCTCTTAAGTGTCTATCTCCAATTAAATTCCCACCCTTCTATTTTAATCTGTTGTGGAGACATAAGTGCTAAATAAAAAGCTAAATAAGAGAAATTGTGCATAAGTTAAGAGTAACCAAGCTCTAGTGGTGGCCAATCATAACTATAGGGAATATTTATGGAGGGTCTACTATGGACTAGGCATTGGGCTAAATGCTTTATGCCAATTGTTCTGAACAAAATATTCTATAAATCTGTCTCAACTACTCAGAGAATTTAAGTATGTGTGTGTGTGTGTGTGTGTGTGTGTGTGTGCTGACTATGGTCTGCAAGTTGATGTTACTCAATGAATGATATCTAATAAGTAAATGTTTATGACTATAGATAATATTTAAGAAAATGTATGTTTACTTTTTAAAGTTTGGAATTTCTGACTATATTTCACCTGGACGTGCACATTCCAGCTCTAAGCATAACTCTTCTGTGGGATGTTTGTCTTTGGTGTCATGGCCTGTCCTGGCAAATGCCCACTCCTTTTGAGTACACATGGCCTGCTCTTCCATGCTGGCCTCCCTCCTTCACCCACACAGGGATATTTCTGCCATGCAGCAGCCTCACTCCCCCACCTTTCACCCATCAAAACATGCATGTCTCATTTAAGTCACTCCTTCAAAAGGATAATTAACTTTTCTCTGGACATAACAGAATTCTGTGGAAACAGAATTGAATGGGAAGTCAGGAGACTGGAATTCTAATACTAGCCAAATGACTTTGGACAAATACTTTCCCATTTTTCAATCCTGCTTCCACCCTTGTTAAATGATCCCCTTACAGCAGTTCTCAACCTGTGGGTCGTGAACAATGAAAATACATCCTGCATATCAGATATTTACATTATTATTCATAACAGTAGCAAAATTACATTTATGAAGTAGCAACAAAAATAATTTTATGGTTGGGGGTCACCACAACATGAGGAACTGTATTAAAGGGTCGCGGCATTAGGAAGGTTGAGAATCACTGCTAGAATCTTATGCCCATAGTGCTAAAGTGTGAAAATACATGCTAAGTGTTCATATACTGGTTGCTATGAGTCAAGATAGGTAACTTCTTTTACTATGTGGATTTTTTTTTTTCTTGGACATGCTAACAGTCTTTCCTCATCAACTGTTACCTAGTGCCTTTCTACTTAGTAAATGACTTAAGGAATCCAACCTTGATCTAAGTCATATTTTGTTCTTAAGAATACTGGGCAGGTCCCCTATTTTAAGCCTTGATTTTGTATTTAGTGCTTTCCTGATTATCAGAGAGTATTAATATTGATATTAATAATATAGCCTAATAATAATATTGATATTTACATGGAAACAAATAAATGATTTCAGAATTCACTACTGGTTAGAGTATTGGAATTTTATTTATCCTGCTCTCCCTTTCCTTGGTAGATCCACCAAGTTCCTGATGAGGGGAGCCTGGGGAGTTCTCTTTTGGCTTGTCAGTTGCAGTTGGTTCAATAGGGGAGTGGAGACAAGCCAGGCGAGGAGGTGGGCTCAGTAAACTGAGCTCTATTGTGCTTGAATAAATGCTTGGGTTTGGGTTGTTTTCTTTCCTCAAAAATGCCTCTCCATTTCCCACTCCCACCTATGTGGAATCCCAAAGGTGCTGTGGAGAATAGCTGGATAACCACTGATCTAAATATATTTTAGGTATAAAATAACAAGTTCTATAAAAGAGATGTGAAAATTTTCTATAAACTTTCAGAAAGAAGAATATTAAGTACTTCTGAGGACTTTAGAAAGAACTTCATGGAAGAAGTGACATCCCTGAAGGAGGGAATAGTATTTGGAGGAGTATTCTAGGCTGAGGGAAGACATAAAGAAAATAGAGATTAGAAAGTTAAAGGTATATAGAGAATGCATAGTTTCATTTTAGCAGATGAAGTATATAGATATATGTAGTGTATGTAATGTATAAAGCAGACTATTGGGGAAAATTTCAGAAAAATCAATTTCTGAACAAGAGCACAGAAATCAGAAATTGCTAGCCTATGATAAATTAGACTTTGTTCTGTAATCAAGAAGGAGGCATTGGGGATGTTTGAGCTAGGAACCAACAAATTGGAACTGTATTCCACTGACTCTTAGGCTATCAGCCATTGTGCATACACCAAAGATATCTAAAACCATTCTCTAGCTCAGATGCTTTCTACTCTGGTGTCACACTATTGCAGGGGTCCTCAAACTACGGCCCGCGGGCCACATGCAAATACAAATATTGTATTTGTTCCCGTTTTGTTTGTTTTTTTACTTCAAAATAAGATATGTGCAGTGTGCATAGGAATTTGTTCATAGTTTTTTTTTAAACCATAGTCTGGCCCTCCAACGGTCTGAGGGACAGTGAACTGGCCCCCTGTTTAAAAAGTTTGAGGACCCCTGCACTATTGCAATCATCTGTGTTATCTATATATATAAAAGCCTAGGTGACAGGACGACCAGACGACCAGATGACCGGCTGGTAGCTATGACATGCACTGGTCACTAGGGGGAAGGTGCTCAACACAGGAGCTGTCCTTGGTGGTCAGTGTGCTCCTACATTGGGAGTGCCGTTCCAGGCTGCAGAAGTGTGAGCCTCTCCCGCGAACACTCCCCCTGTGCGCCTGAGTAGTGGCGTGGCAGGCGCAGTGGGGGCCTGGACAAGCAGAAGCGGTAAGACATCCACCTGGGCTTAGTCTCCCCGGCCGCCTGCCACTTCACATACTATTTAATGCTGTGCGGGATTGAGCAGCTGGTGGGTAAGGCTGGGCTGCGGCAGTGCAGAGGTCCACTGATCCCTGCAGGCCAGGCTGAGGGACCCCACCAATGCACGAATCCGTGCACCAGGCCTCTAGTTAGCAATAAAATGCCATTTATTGAGTACTTATGACATGCCAGGCATTATATTAGCCATTTTATATGTATTGTTTAATACTATCTTTCTAAAACTCTTTGAGGTGGGTATTATTATTCTTATTTTGCATATGAGAACTTGAGACTCTTAGAGATAAAATAACATCCTTAAAGGCATGCAGTTGACAAATGGTAGAGCTTAGGTTCAAGACCAGGGATCACTGACAGCAAAGACCATGCTCTTAACTAGGATACCCAGGCTCTGGGAAACTCCAGGTGGATGTAATAAACATCTCTGCATAGGATACTCACATTTGACTATTCTCTTCCTCATCTCTGCTCCTGGTTCATAATGTTGGTTAGAGTCAGCATAATAATTCCAGAAGCCAGAAATCTCAGGGTCATCCTTCTCTCCCACCATCTCTCTGTTCCCACCCATGGGTTTGTAGATTCTGCCTTCTCTTCATTAACTCTTTTTTTAGACTATTATAGCAACTTCCCACCAGGCCCACATGCCTCAGTGAGTCCTGGTTGGATTAAGAAGATGATGCACCCTAATTCAGTGAATAAGGAAAATGGCCAAAAAAATGACACAGGGTGCCATGGTGCAAAGACTGTGGTGTGTGAAGCCTGGTTTTAAATCCTGACTGTCGTACATGAACTAGGTGACCCTGGCAAGTTTGCCTTTTTTTTTTTTTTTTTCTTAATCACTCTAAATCTTAAATCTTACTTTCCTTATCTGTAAAGAGGAGATATCAATATGCAGGGTGTCCCAAAAAATGTATACATACTTTGAATAAGTATTAATTCCAATAGGTTAAATCTGAAAGAAAGAAACATCAATTGAGCTATCAGCTATTAACATGTGTATACATTTTTTGGGACACCCTGTATACTGTCTGGGTTATTGTGAGCACAAGAGTATCTAGTACATTGCCTGTAACATAGTTGGTCTTAATACCTAATAAATATTAATTTACAAAGGTCATTTACTCCACAAGGCAGAAAGTATCAAATGAATATGAGAATTATGGGGATTCAGGAATGGAGAGGACACTGAAGCATAATGGAAGAGTTTTGTAGGACTTAGACTGGACCACAAAAAGGAAGGAAAACATAACAGGGGAAGAACAGTATACACAAAGGCCGAGGAGTAGGAATTCTCATGGTGTTTTCTGTGGACAAAGAGGTACCACTGCTGTTATGGCTCTCACTCTTTCCTTTATTTGAGCACATTCTATTTCTTAAGATAGAAATTTGTGTTTGTTCATGGTTAGTGATAAGGATTAAAGGGTAGTTTGAGGACAAAATATTGGAGGCATTAGTGACACAGCTAAGAATGTTGGATCATGTCTTGCAAAAGAAGATATTATAGGTTTCTGAATTAGGATAATTTATTATGATTGGGGAAAAAGCCTAAGTTCAATATCCCTTTTCATTTTGACTCAATTTATGTGAATACCTACCTATTGCCAGTTGAACTAAAGCTTAAAAATACTTTCATTAGAATAAAAAAAAAGGAATGTCATAAGAGCCAAGTTTTTAATGCTTTTGGGAAAAGATATATGGAGAGCTTCTTATTTCTTTGTTTCTTTGCTGATTTTTTGTCTAGAGGATTTATCCAGTGATGTCAGTGGTGTATTAAAGTCCCCTACTACGATTGTATTGTTGTCGATCTCTCCTTGATATCTTCCAGGAGTTTTTTTTTATGTATTTGGGTGCTCCTGCATTGGGTGCATATATGTTTCTCAGGGTTATATCCTCTTGCTGTATTGATCCCTTTAGTATTATGAAGTGGCCTTCCTCATCTCTTGTTATTGCCTTCACTTTGAGGTCTATTTTGTCAGATATAAGTATTGCTACCCTAGCTTTTTTTTTCATTTCCATTTGCCTGAAAGATATTTTCCATCCCTTCACTTTCAGTCTGTGTGAGTCGCTTCTAATGAGGTGGGTCTCTTGTAGACAGCAAATATATGGGTCATGTTTTCATGTTTTTTTATCCATTCAGCCACTCGATGTCTTTTGATTGGAGCATTTAGTCCATTTACGTTTAAAGTTATTATTGAAAGGTACTTGTTTGTAGCCATTTTTATTTTTTGTGCCTGTTTTCTTTCTTAGTTTTTTATTTATTCTTTTTACACCAGTCCCTTTAGCATTTCTTGCATTGCTGGCTTGGTGGTGATAAACTCCCTTAGCCTTTTTTTGTCTGTGAAGCTTCTTATTTCCCCTTCAATTTTGAATGATAGCCTTGCTGGATAGAGTATTCTTGGAATCAGTCCCTTGCTTTGCATCACTTTGTAAATTTCCGTCCATTCTTTTCTGGCCTGATGTGCTTCTGTTGAGAAATCATTTGATAATCTAATGGGAGGTCCCTTGTATGTAACTTTCCGTCTCTCTCTTGCAGCCTTGAAGATTCTTTCTTTGTCCTGAACATTTGCCATGGTAATTATGATGTGTCTTGGTGTGGGTCGTTTTGGGTTCATCTTGTTTGGGACTCTCTGGGCTTGTGTGACTTTTTTCTTCGCCACCTCAGGGAAGTTTTCTGATATTATTTCTTCAACTAGGTTTTCTAACCCTTGTTCCTCTTCCTGTTGGTCTGGCACCCCTATTATTCGTATGTTGCTTTGTTTCATGTTGTTCCATAGCTCCCTTAGGGTCTCTTCCTGTCTTTTAATTTTTTTCTCCAATTGCAGTTCAGTTTGGGTGTGTTTTACTTCCCTGTCTTCTAATTCGCTAATTTGGTCCTTCGTTTCTCCTAGTCTACTGTTGAAACTTTCCATGGTGTTTTTTATTGCAGCTATATCACTCTTCATTTCTTCTTGATTCTTACATAAGTTGTTGATTTTTTCCTCCATCCAGTTTATGAACTCTAGGACCCTTAGTCTGAATTCTTTTTCTGACATATTGCATGCCTCTGTTTCACTTAGCTACTTTTCTGGCGAGTCCTCCTTTTCTTTCCTTTGGGGGTTTCTTTATCTACCCAAAGAGTGTCTTATAAAATTCAGAGTGAATGTTTAATAAAGACTGTACTGGGTGGTCTTTAAAATACTAAATATGTTTAAAAGTAATATTTAAAATATCAACCTGAGATCTTATGAGCACTAAAAAATAATCCCTGAGAATTTCAATCACTCTGCACATTTATTAATTTGTTTAGGATTTAAATATATCCTGTTTCTAAAATTAAGTTTCTGTCAATGATTTGGAATTGTCTGTCTATCTATTTATCTATCTACCTACCTACCTATTATTTTCTTTTCCCTGCAGTAACCTTCATCACAGAATATGTGGGGACCCTGGAACCTTCCACAATAATATCCCTAATAACAAGCCATGGTGGTTGTTACAGCCACTCATTCAATGCATGATCCATGGGCTCAAGCTATGGAAAGATATTGTTAAAATTTCAACAAAAATATTACTTGGGAGAACTGATACGTAAAGCCTATTAATGCTTTACCACCACCATCCCCTACCC